AAATGCCTGGTTAACACACTAGGAGAAAGGAACCTATTCGAGTAGCAGTTCTTTTATTATTCATAAACTCCAGAATTCCTCAAGAACCAGGCTGAGTGTTAATTGAAGATACTGATTGATTTTTGATCGTGCATACGCTTTATACATTTGCATATGGTAGGGTTCTAGGCTGTGCGTGTTGGACTGTTCCGTTGATGATGAGAAGAAGGGCGCCTTCATGAATGATGGTGAACAGAGATCTAGGGCGACATCATCAGGGAGTTTTGTGTGTGGAACAGGAAAAATGAGTGTTAGTGAGCACTGCTTCTGGCCTGTTGTAGGTTGATGGATTTTTTTGCTATAGAAAACTAGATTAGATACTGAAAGGTTTCAGTGTATCCAGTGTTTATAGTTTTGATATATAAACTTCTCAAGTCTTTATTCTGTATTCTGAAAATAGGATGGACAGGGCCAAATTAGGTCCTATTTCCTGTTTATTCGTTTATTTATTCATTTATAAAACACTTGTTGAACATCTGCTGCATGCCAGGCTCTGTGCTCTATACATTCTAGTCAGTGTCGTACCAGTATTTAAATCAGTAACTTGAAGGTCAGTCTTCATGTTCACAACTTACTAAGCTATAATCATAAGGCATGAAAAAAATAGCCACTGTTGAGGCAGGGGGGAGTGTTGTTTTAATTTGGAAAAAAACAAAATAACATCAACAAAAATGAGAATATTTCCTAAATGTGACATATTACTTCTGGTTGACTTATTTCTTTCACATTTGATCTGCCCTTTCTCAGATCTGCCTTTTCTCAGATCCTTTCTCAGAGGCCAGTGCTGATCTGCATGTCTGCATTACAAATATTGGAATCTTTTCGTTGTTCTGATTTTGGTGCCAGAAAGGACAATGGTTGGTTTGCTTGGCTTTTGTCTAGCCATTAAGCACTATAGCTCTGAAGCAAATTTGGTAAGAAGAAAGCTTTTACTCCCCTCACCCTTTAATTTTAGTTTGTATTTGCAAACTTTGTAAGGTGGAAATCTCTTTCGGTTTATGGGGAAAAGGTGATTGTGCTTAAATTACGAGTTACATTTATTCAGAGTTTGCTTTACTGTCTCCTGGTGGTTGACTCTAAATCAGGGTGTCTCAACAGTGGCACAGTAACATTTGGGCTGGATAATTCTGTTTCAGGGGGCTGTCCTGTGCACTGTAGGATCTGGCAGCATCCCTGGCCTCTGCCCACTAGATGCAAGAAACTCCCCCCACCCCCCCAAGTTGTGACAACCAACAATGTCCACAGATATTGTCAAATGTCTCTTGGGGGGCAAAATCACTCCTAGCTGAGAACCACCACTCCGAATCCTTAAAGCAGACCTACTGACCACAGTTGTTTGTGAGCTAACCACAAGTAAGCTGCTGCTGTACTTGACGTTGTGTTTCTCTGAATCCTTAAAAGTTTTTCTTTTATTCTGATGATTGTTGCTTCAGTTCCCTAATCCTGGGGATCTTACTGTCATCCCAGAGGAGTTGTGCCAGGATGAGCAGAGATGATGGTACATGTGATGTATTCCTGGAATCCAGAAGACTTGTTCTTAATGGACCTGCCCCTTAATGGACTTTAATAGGCTTTCTCAGAAAAACTGCATGTGAAATCTAGGCCAACACATATGTGATTATGAGGCCTTCAGCTCTAAGTCTTCCAAAGGACAGCAGGTCCCCTTGATTGGATTTACTCTGTAATTAGACAAAAAGATTGGCTATGTTCTAGGTATCAAATCATGATCATTTTAGTTTTTAATTGTTGTTTCTTGTTTTTATTTATTTATTTTATTTATTTATTTTTGGCTGTGTTGGGTCTTCGTTGCTGCACACGGGCTTTCTCTAGTTGTGGCGATCGGGGGCTACTCTTCGTCGCGGTGTGCAGCCTTCTCATTGCGGTGGCTTCTCTTGTTGCGGAGCACGGGCCTAGGCATGCGGGCTTCAGGAGTTGTGACACGTGGGCTCAGTAGTTGTGGCTCACGGGCTCTAGAGCGCAGGCTCAGTAGTTGTGATGCACGGGCTTAGTTTCTCTGCAGCATGTGGGATCTTCCTGGACCAGGGCTCGAACCCTTGTCCCCTGCACTGGCAGGCGGATTCTTAACCACTGCGCCACCTGGGAAGTCCTTGTATCTTGTTTTTGTTTGTTTGTTTGTTTGTTTTTTTGTGGTACGCAGGCCTCTCTCACTGTTGTGGCCTCTCCCGTTGTGGAGCACAGGCTCTGGATGCGCAGGTTCAGTGGCCATGGCTCACGGGCCTAGCTGCTCCACAGCATGTGGGATCTTCATGGACCGGGGAACGAACCCATGTCCCCTGCATCGGCAGGTGGACTCTCAACCACTGCGCCACCAGGGAAGCCCTGTATCTTGTTTTTAGACTAAGAGGTTTTTTTGTAGGGTTGTCAAGTTTGGCTGATAAACAACTTGCATTTTTGCATACAACATGGTGCTGTGACGATTTAGCAGAGAGGTTGCTTACTTATGCTCATCCACATGACAAGTGGTAGAATTGGAATCTGAACGCAAGTTTTTCTGGTTGACTTCAAAGCCATGCTTTTTCCTCTGTACCAGCGCCTCTCAAAATTTAATGTGCATAGGACTCGGGGATCTTGTTAAAATGCAAGTCGGTCCTGACTTGGTAGGTTTAGGGAGGGCTGCATTTCCAGCAGAGTCCCAGATGATGCCCGTGTTGCTGGTCTTTGGATTGTATTTTGAGTACTGGAGCTCTGTACTATGTTCATGGATTGTTAATTGTGCTGTAGGTAATCCTCCTGGTGGTTAACTCACAAAATTGGTAATCTACAATTGAATATTCAAGAATTGGATGTTTCACTGATTTTTTTTCTCATTTTAAGCTATGTATTTTCCTTGGTAGAGCTGAGGGACCGCTGTACTCAGCTGAACTGGCAGCGTTGCAGGTCTGTGTTAAGTGAATGCTGGGCACATTAGGACAGTAACATGAATGACCCGAGGGTAGCTTGTGGGGCAAGCATTCGAGTGAACAGCTGCCGTAGTCTGCTGATTCTGGGGTGGACGTTAGTTATTTCCTAAGGTGCTTAGGAAATCGCCCTTTTTAACAAAGGTGCTAGTTGAAAATAAAACCTTGAATTTGGGGCTTCCCTGGTGGCGCGGTGGTTGAGAGTCCGCCTGCCGACGCAGGGGACGTGGGTTCGTGCCCCGGTCCGGGAGGATCCCACATGCCGCGGAGCGGCTGGGCCCGTGAGCCATGGCCGCTGAGCCTGTGCGTCCGGAGCCTGTGCTCCGCAACAGGAGAGGCCACAACAGTGAGAGGCCCATTTTCACAAAAAAAAAAAAAAAAGAAAAAAAAAAAGTGCTGCAGGGCAAGATGGGTTTCTCTGCCTATTGCTTGGCTCTCTGTAGTAGCAAATCTGTTACAGATTTTTCTTCATCTTTGTAGGAACTCCTCCAGGACTGAGGGAAAGTTTTAAAAAAGCTCTTTATTAAACATTCTAAATGATAAACTATTTTACATCTTTCTTGTTTGGCAGCATTTTTATTTCTTGATGGTACACAAATTAATAATACATTTTCCATGGGGCTTTCGTTGGGTGAGATTTATAAACTTCGAAGTTTAGCAGAGAAGCACTGATTTGGAGTTGGGGTTATTAGTTAGAGTCTAGCTCTGCCACTTGCCAGTCGTCCACGTGTAAAATGAAAGTTGACTGATCTCCAAGGCCCTTCTGGCTCTGAACTAATTGGATTCTAAGTATGCTAGAATGAATTAATTGAAATATGATGACTCTGCCTTAAGAACACAGAAGAAGTGATTACTTTTGACGAGGTTGGGGAGTGACAGGAGGCGTCTGAACTGGGTCTCCAGGGGGAGAATAATGTGGTAGAGGAAGAGGAGAAAGAGTATTTTAAGCCGAAGGGACCATACTCGTGAGGTCATGGGAGTACCTTTGAAACCATTCATAAACTTTTAGACTCTGGATAAAATTACATTCCTTATGCTACGTGGAGGTTAGCCTCATTACAAGTAAGGTGTTTTGTTAAAAGTAAGATGACCCTTCTTGGCTTTCCAAAAAGGTGATTGCTCAAGAAGTTCTCTTTGAGTTCTGTTTTTGAGAATAAAATGATGGTTCCTCACTAGCTGGATTAATTAGGTATAGAAACCATAAAAATAAAATGAGCTATCAAAGTACTGAGTATGTTCATCCTTGTTTATTTGAGTTATCAGGGACAAGGTGAATAATAAAGCTACTACCTATGTTATAGTAAACTATGCTTATCTGCGGCAGGTTTAAATAATTTTTAAAATCATAATGTAGTTCTACCATTTGGGCACTAATCTTTATTTTGTGAAGAAATTACTGCTTTTCATAGTGGGTCACTTTGGATAGAGATTCTTTGAATTGGGAATTTCTTTGGACACAAAAGCTGTTAGTTTTACTGGATCAGGTACACCTTGAAAGAAAAACCTCTTGTAAGTGTAGTCAGTGTTGCAGGTAGGAATTGGAAAAGTGAAGTAATAAGTAATTAACCTCAACCGGATGGACTGTCCTTAGTTCTTTTGTACCAAAAAGAGAGGCCTTAAAATTGGGGGTCAGAAATTGCATAGACTCAAGGGAGTTCTGAGTTTGGTTTTAAAGGGGATTCCAGGGCTGTGAATCATAATCTCAGTTCTACTCTGCCACCTTGTGTTCTCTTGGGAAACTTACTTCTAATTTCCCTATAGACTGTTTATTGCACACGCAAAATAATCCTCAGCTTTAGCTTGTCTCACAGAAAAATTAGTTGGCAAATGAATACTTAAAATGTGAAATCTCTATACATTTGCTGAAATATGAGGCAGTTTCTATTCCTAAAAGGCGTATATGCTAGATTTTACAAGTGGTAGGTAAGCAGGCGAAATTATTCAGGATGTTTAGCCACAGTCTGCTTTGACCTAAAGGCAGTTTTGCTTTTGCATTGAACGATGCAGCATTGACCGTTAAGTGTTTTTCCTTCCTCTACACAGGTGGTCCGTACTGAGAAGAACAGTTTGAACAATCGATTCCTGCCCTGGAATGAAATCGAGACAGAGGCCATCCTGTCTATTGATGATGACGCTCACCTCCGCCACGATGAAATCATGTTTGGGTTTCGGTGAGGAGCTGATTTTCAATCACGAAACACTTTTGTTTGCAAGTGACAGGAAACTAACTCAAAACCTGGATTAGGCAGCCAAATGAATTTCATAGCTGATAGTGACTGAGACATCTTATTGGGCTTAAATATCCCACTTTGAGGGAACAGTACAGGTGAGAGAATGGAGTAGATCAGGGCCACTCAAAGTGTGTCCTGGACTGGTACGCTGGCCCATGAACAGTTTATTACCTGTCCACAGTGAGGTAAGTACAAAAATTGAGAGTAGGCATTTAGAAACTTTAAAATGATTTGATATTCACCATGACATCCAAGTGTGAACTTTTTTCTTATAATTCATTTTTTGGGTAACATTTATTGAATATAATTCATACATGATACAGTTCACTCATTTAAGTGTACCATTCAGTGGTTTTTAGTATAATTACAGAGTTGTGCAGCCATCACCGTAGTCTAGAAAAAAGAAATCCAAAAGAAATCCAGTACCCATTAGCAGTCATTCCCCATTTTTCTCCAGCTCTTCTGAGACCTTGGCAACCATTAATGTACTTTGTTTCTCTATAAATTTGCCTTTTACAGACATTCCATATACATGGTACCATATACTCTGTGCTCTTTGGTAACTGGTTTCTTTCACTAAACATAGTGTTTTCAAGGTTCATCCATCTTGTAGCATGTCCGTACTTCATCCATTTTGTATGGATGTACACATTTTGTTTGTCCATTTATCCATTGATGGACATTTGGGTTGTTTCTACTCCTTGGCTATTGTGATTAGTGCTGCTATGAACATTCATGTACAAGTTTGTATATGAGCATTTCCTTTCTCTTAGATATATACCTTGGAGTGGAATTGCTGGATCATATAGTATCTCTTCGTTTAACATTTTGAGGAATTACACTCCTGTTTTCCAAAGTGGCTGCACCATTTTATATTGTACCAGCAGTGAATAAGGGTTCCATTTTCTCCGCATCCTTGTCAACTCTTGTTATTTTCCATTTTTTATTTATAGCCCTCCTACTTGGTGTGAAGTGGTATTTCAGTGTAGTTTTGATGTGCATTTCCCTAATGACTCATGATATTGGCTATCTTTTCATGTGCTTAATAACAGTTTATATATCTTTGAAGAAACGTCTATTGAGATCCTTTGCCCATTGTTATTTGGGTTGTCTTTTTATTACTGAGTTGTAAGATTTCTCTAGAACTCTTACATTCTAGATCCAAGTCCCTTATCAGAGATATGATTTGCAAATTTTTTCTCCTATTCTGTGGGTTGTCATTTCACTTTCTTGATGGTGTCCTTCAAAGCACAAAAGCTTTTCATTTTAATGAAGTCCAGTTTGTCTGTGTTTTCTTTGGTTACTTGTGCTTTTGGTGTCATATGGAAGAAACCATGTGATTCATTTTTATTGTATTTTACAAAAGCATGAATAAGCCAGGGGAACAATACTTGTTTGCCACAGATAGTTTGAGAAGCACTGGAGTAGATATCCTTGGAGATCTTGTTGAAATTAAGTACAGATCCAGGATGGAGAACTGTTTTTCTCTGTGCTTTTGTTCCATTCACTGAAAGCCTGGCCTGACCCCTAGCTTTCAGGCTTCTTTTGGTTTAAGTGGATAAGTGCAGATGCTCAGATGAAAGGAGCAGCGGCTTTATTGCTGTATTTGTCTTAGGTCCATTTAAAGAATTATTTGGCATATTTCTGACAAATCAGAACATCTGTTCTTCCTCTCCCTCACCCAGCCTCTCATTTCCTTTGAGTTCTTCCTCCTACTATATTATTGAGGCAAGAGTCTGTTGTTAGCAGTGATAAAAATCCCACTGGAATGTGTTCCTTTGTACCATGACCGTAAGAAGCCAGCTCTCTTTACCTGTTTTTACGAAAGGAAAAAAAGCCATGTGATGGTTCCAGAAATGGGCTTTTGCCATCACTGTTGTTGTTATTAATGGTGGTTGGGAGGGGAGGGAAGGTGGTGTATTTCTGATACAGCATGATGCAGTTTAGAGCATGCTAAAGGACTGGGAGCTGTGAACAGAGTCGTGGGATGTTAACAGGAGAATTGCCAATCAGCTCTAGATCCCAAGAATGATTAGATAAAGGGTCCTACTTTGATGAGTTTGAAGCTTATTAAGATAGCTGGCACTTGCTATCTTCTATGGCTCTTGATTTAGGAAAATTTTTTTTTATAATGTTTATTTATTTTTACTTGTTGACAGTTTGCTTTATTTATTTATTTATGGCCGTGTTGGGTCTTCGTTTCTGCGTGAGGGCTCTCTCCAGTTGCGGCAAGCGGGGGCCACCCCTCATCGCGGTGCGCGGGCCTCTCACTATCGCGGCCTCTCCTGTTGTGGAGCACGGGCTCCAGACACGCAGGCTCAGTAATTGTGGTTCACGGGCCCAGTTGCTCCACGGCATGTGGGATCTTCCCAGACCAGGGCTCGAACCCGTGTCCCCTGCATTGGCAGGCGGACTCTCAACCACTGCGCCACCAGGGAAGCCCAGGAAGATTTTTTTTTTAATTAATTAGTTAATTTTTGGCTGTGTTGGGTCTTCGTTGCTTCGTTGTGCATGGGCTTTCTCTGGTTGTGGCGAGCAGGGCCTACTCTTCGTCGCAGTGTGCGGGCTTCTCGTTGCGGTGGCTTCTCTTGTTGCGGAGCATGGGCTCTAGGCATGCAGGCTTCAGCAGTTGTGGCATGCAGGCTTCAGTAGTTGTGGTGTGTGGGCTCAGTAGTTGTGGCTTGCGGGCTCTAGAGCACAGGCTCAGTAGTTGTGGCACGTGGGCTTAGTTGCCCCACAACATGTGGGATCTTCCCAGACCAGGGCTTGAACCCGTGTCCCCCACATTGGCAGGTGGATTCTTAACCACTGCGCCACCAGGAAGTCCCTAGGAAGGTCTTTGATCTTTTCCATTTGTCAACAGATTTCCAAGTGGTGAGAGAATAATAGGAAGCCTTATGACTGATGATATTGAGTATCTTTTCATGTACTCAGTGACTGTTTGTATATCTTCTTTGGAGAAATGTCTATTCAGATCCTTTGCCTTTTTATTATTGAGCTGTAAGAGTCTCCTAACAATCATTTGAAATTTGAGGTTTAGCCTCTGGTTATAAGCCTGGTGAATTAGCTCTGGCTTGACTTCTAAACCTTTTATTGCCCTGACTCTTTTCTCATTTGTTTGGGCATCCTTTGATCTAAAAACTTTGTTTTCGAATTAGAGTTTTCATCTTTTCCAGATTAGATTTTTAAGGAACCTCCATACTGTTCTCCATAGTGGCTGCACCAATTTACATTCCCATCAACAGTGTAGGAGGGTCCCCTTTTCAAAAAGATAAATGCACCCCAATGTTCATTGCAGCACTATTTACAGTAGACAAGACATGGAAGCAACCTAAGTGTCCATCGACAGATAAATGGGTAAAGAAGCTGTGGTATATATATATATATATATATATACGGTGGAATACTACTCAGCCATAAGAAAAGAATGAAATAATGCCATTTGCTGCAACCTTGATGGACCTAGAGATTATCATACTTAGTGAAGTAAGTCAGACAGAGAAAGGGAAATAACGTGATATCACTTATGTGTAGAATCTGAAAAAATGTTGCAAGTGAATTTACTTACAAAACAGAAATAGACTCACAGACATAGAAAACAAACTTATGGTTACCAAAGGGGAAAGTGGGGGGAGGGATAAATTAGGAATTTGGGATGAACAGATATATACTACTATATATAAAATAGATAACGAGGACCTACTATATAGTACAGGGAACTATATTCAATATTTTATAATAACCTATAATGGAAAGAATCTGAAAAATTACATATATATATATATATATATATATGTATAACTGAATCACTTGTAAATCAACTGCACTTTGATTTTAAATAAATAAATAAATAGAAATTCTCCCTCTGGCAAAAGATAACATGGATCTTGGCAAACTTCAGCTTACACAGCAAGGAAGGAAACAGGTATGTTCTTAAGGGACAGATGAAGAGACCCAAGAGAATTGAAAACTTATGTGTGTACAAAAGCAGTACGTGAATGTTCATAGCAGCATTATTTATAAGAGTCAGTGAGTATAAATATGATTCTACTTATATGAGGCATCCAGAGTAGTCAGATTCATAGAGACAGAAAGTAGGTGGTGGCTGCCTGGGGCTGGAGGAAGGCAAGAA